GCAACCCCGGCCTGGGGAACACTTTTTGAAACAGAAAACCTTAAATTTCGTTACTCCTAGGCATTCAATTAATAAACATCGGTCATTCTTAAGTAAATATTAAACTACTTCCAATATTTATGCATGTCATGTTCCACCAAAGCAAGAATTAGGCGATGAGTTGAGAAATGGTTTTAATTTAATTTAGGGCGCATGGAGCAAATTAATTAATTAATTGATTGAAATTAATTTCAGTAGATCTGTATCAAGACAAATTCAGTATATGTTGCTGAGTGAAATAGCTATGGGCGAATGGCTGTTCCTTTTTCCTTAACACCTCTATCAAAACTAGGCCCACAAATCATGGAGGGGGATCAATATCCACATAACAATAAACCAAAAATTTTATAGATTGAGGGCCATAATCGGTATGATAGCACCATTGATAAGATCTTTACCTGGCAAAATGGATACAAAAAATCGTTTTTAGACTATTGTCTAGAAAACCAGATGATTTTTTGCGTACTTGGCTTCGAATAACTACTATGTCAAACGCCTTCCATTTGTTGTTACACATCGTCACAAATAAATAAATAAACGAAGTGATTAATAAATTAATTAAACACAAATGAAATATTATCTTTTTTTCACTCGTCACAACCTGGTTCGAAATATGAAACGCATTTATTTATCTTGATGTCTTTCTGTTTTGCAAGTTCAGCTCACGCCAACATTTGCTCAAAATTGATGACACGTTTGGCGATTTTGGTCAGCATTGGGAATTCTTCAATGCGTTGAACATTTGTTCCCGTCACAAAAATTAATTCATCTGGGTTTGGAAATTGATACATGTCAAGTTTGTATTCTGACGAAAAGCTAATTAAACCTAAGATTTTGCTGATAGGAAGGGCCAATAAATCTTAAAAGTCACTTCAAATGAAATGCAATTCTTTCAGTGCCGTCTTACCGCTCTGTTACCAGCGTTCCCACGATGCAATGATTGGCATATAAAATGCAGCAACTTTTCATTTGTATAAAGACCATTTGTTTTTATGTCATTTAAAATTTGAATCACTTTATATTTATTTCTTTACGATATGGCTGATTAAGCAGTAATATTCTTAAGCGCAGACGGAAGGCATACTGGCTGCGGGAAAGCCAGCATATGATTATACACCTATAATTGTAGTAAAGTTATTTTGGTTACGATTAGATCACACAACTTTATAAACAGACGTCAAAATATGTAAGATCTATACAGTTTGATTTGATGTTTAGTATATTTATAAATGACTTATACACGTTTTTAGATTTTACCTTATTAAATTGAGATCTCCATCTTAGAATTACTTGATCACACTTCACATGTTATCATCACGGAAGTACTATTTCATTTATCAATATTACTTACATATACAGTGTCAAATTTTACAATATACAAATACATGTATAGATTATTTAGTATGTATACACATAAATTGTTTGTACTGTTTGTAATTGTAGAAATCATGCTTGTTGTGATGCCTGAAAGGGCCCTGATTTGGAAATAAAGAATCTTATCTACCATACTATCATCATCAATAAATAAATAAATAAATAAATAAATAAATAGTGTATTCCATCTCATGTTCTCATTAATGACCATATGTATCCAAAAGTAGATAATTAACTATCTTTAGTAAGAAAACCTTTTTATACTAAGCACTTTAAGTTTAAACTCGGCACTGCATAAGTACAACCTCGTTATATAAAACGAGTACTTTCTCACGTAGACGTTAAACTGCAGGGGGGGGGGGGGGGGGGCAGTAGGGTAAAGAGACACAGTTACTCTCTGTATTGTTAATTATTAGTCATGCACCATTGTTTACGAATCAGAGCAAACATTCCTGGTAATTTATTATTTATATTAACCTTAAACTAGATGTGTTGCGTCTCAATATAAATATATGCACTATACATGTAAATTATATTCTTTTAGAACTTGAAAAGCTACTTACTTTCATGCGAATCAATTCAATTATTTGGAAGAGAACAATTTAAATGTTATCATTCATAGATTATAAACCCTACAGTTCAGTAGAATAAGAAAGACTTTTGAACTTTTTCTCTAGATATTTTGTTCATCTGTTCATTTTAATCACAGGCTTCTATAGCAGTAAATTTTAGTATGTTGTAACAAAGCAATTAAGAGAGGAATGTGCTAGAATGGAGTTCCTAATCCGATATTCTATTACGGGGCAAATGACCTTGGCTGTGTAAAGATATGCATTGATAAAACTGCCGAATCCTTAAATAGTTCAGTAAAGTTAACTATAGGGTCGTTTCCAGATGTGATGGGAAGTTCGATCAGGAAAAAGATCGCAAAAGTAATTAACTCAGTTACCAAGCATAATTAATCTAGTTACAACAGAGGATATTTTATATATACAATTCGTCTGGCAGTAAGCTAAAATTTTTAAAAGCGGGCTTAAAAACATAGTGAACTGCCAACTTGATTTAATATTATCATTTATAGTAGTAGTAGTATCATTGATATATATTGTGGGGGTGACGGATGGTTTTGTGAGTAGAGTGTTAAGCTACCCCCACGTTTGTGGCGGCGTGCATATTACATGAGTAACTATGCACGTTTGGCGGATTTAGCTTAACACACTTCATCTCGACTAGCGCCGCTGTGAACAGGGCGCAGCTGCAACATAATTATTTTGACAACTGGTCAATGGAAAACAATTGACAGAACATTGATTAATTGAAATATTGTTTGGCTTAAACATAAACTTACTACAATTCATTGAATTGAGTGAGTATTGATTGATTGAACATTGATTGATTGAACATTGATTGATTGAATATTGAAACATTGATTGATTGAACATTGATTGATTGAATATTGATTGATTGAATGAATATTGATTGATATTATTGAAAATGGATTGATTCATTGGACTGAAACTTTTTGATTGATTCAACTGAATATTCATTAATTGATTGGATATTCATTAATTGAATTGATTAATTTATTGATTGATTGATTGATTGAACTTGATATTGATTGATTCAATTGAATATTGATTGATTGATTGAATATTGTTTTATAAGGCTGGCGCACCGCAAAATTTGGAAAGCAAACGCCAGTCTTATAGTGTAAAAAATGACATGTGTACAGTTAATATTGATTGATTGATTGTTTGTTTGCTTTGATTGGAGGTGTGCCAAAAACCAATTGGGTCGGCACCCACTGAACACATGTATCTTAAATAATTGATCTGCAACCAGCCGTGGCCATATGATGCCAAACTTAATAAATAAATAATTAAGAAATGGTGTCACTTGTTTTTTAGTGGTAGTCTGTGATAATCGGATTTATGAAGTGAATGCGTTATAAATCCATTTATCACAGCGCCCCACGTGGAAGGATGCGCGCGCAATATATGCGCAAGCATTTGTACATTCCATTCTAACACCATTTCCAAATGTTGCACGTTTAGGGTTTGCTGTGAACTTTTAAGAAAATTTACCCGCCCTTCTACACCCCATATTACTTTGAGTTGTTTTCTGCGCCGAGTTCTTTTCATTTCAGAGAAAGAGGCCTAAGGAGCCAAGCTGTCAATCATTCTAAGACCTTGCCTTAGTCATGACCGGCCAAAGCTGCCATTCCTTGCCATACAGTGATGAATGGTATCGTGATGGACACTTCCAAGTACCAGAAGGAAGGACTTCGCTCACCCAATCGTATTGGCTTATTGACTCTAAACAGGGTGAAGCTGCAACACGATAACTATCGATCAAGGACTAGATAACACCCATCGTCACGGCTGGTTAATTTATTATGCGGACAGTATTGTCTCTGTAATTAACAGAGCGAAGAGCCAGTTGGAGAGATACATCGAATAGCGCTGAACACAAATCATCTTGACACGCGTCGCTGTTAACAGGGCGCAGCTGCAACTTGATTATGTGGATGACTTATCGATGGAAAACAATTAATTGACTTGATAATTAACACAGAACATTGATTAATTTATTGAAATATTGTTTGGCTTAAACATAAACTTACTACAATTCATTGAATTGAGTGAGTATTGATTGATTGAACATTGATTGATTGAACATTGATTGATTGAATATTGAAACATTGATTGATTGAACATTGATTGATTGAATATTGATTGATTGATTGAATATTGATTGATATTATTGAAAATGGATTGATTCATTGGACTGAAACTTTTTGATTGATTCAACTGAATATTCATTAATTGATTGGATATTCATTAATTGAATTGATTAATTTATTGATTGATTGATTGATTGAACTTGATATTGATTGATTCAATTGAATATTGATTGATTGATTGAATATTGTTTTATAAGGCTGGTGCACCGCAAAATTTGGAAAGCAAACGCCAGTCTTATAGTGTAAAAAATGACATGTGTACAGTTAATATTGATTGATTGATTGATTGTTTGCTTTGATTGGAGGTGTGCCAAAAACCAATTGGGTCGGCACCCACTGAACACATGTATCTTAAATAATTGATCTGCAACCAGCCGTGGCCATATGATGCCAAACTTAATAAATAAATAATTAAGAAATGGTGTCACTTGTTTTTTAGTGGTAGTCTGTGATAAATGAATTAAAAACTGAAAATATTTTTGAATTTTTTTTGTTTTTTGCGAGGATGGAGGGTGCTATTGACTATTGCGATTCTTTTCTTGTGTTCAAATGAAGACAGCATGAAAAGACTTTTGAGAAAAAAAAAACATTTGAAAAAAACTGAGATTTATTGATTATTCAGACCGTACGTGTCTGATTGGAATCTTTTTTTAATGACATGTATGAAGCTATGTAAACATTCTGTGTGTTGGACTCATATCTTTCGATGAATTATCTCGGTTACGAAATATGGAAATAGGATCAAAATATACATTGCGCTCTATCATTTTCGTAATTTGAAGAGGTGTGTGTTATAACAACTGATAAGATTATCCAATGCATATATTTAATAAAAAAGAAAGAATATCAGAAACCAATATTTATTTAATAACTCTTTCGTTCAAAATCGATTGCTCATTGGATTGCCATCTGTTGAAAATTCAAAGATTATACCATAAACCTGCAAAAATAAAGAAAAAGAAAAATAGCTCGACTTAATTAACAAATAATTCTCAACATGATGTCAATCACAATTTTCCCATTTAACCGTAAATCCGTAAAACTTACCTATGGAACTTAATATTTTTTAACAGTAGGTATCCTCCCGACTCTTGGTAATTCTGATATGCCATTGTTTTCAAATATACCGCCTCCCAAATTCTGTCTTGAGAACTCCGGTTGTATATTATTTACCCCTGTGGCATCAAACCGCGAGAAAGATGAACCATCTGATTGGTATGCTCTGGGACCTGTTCTAAAGGTTTGAAAAGAACGGTCTATCCCACTAAGGACATTTGTTCCACGAGTTCTTCCAAAACTAACTAAATCATCGCCATGTATAATTTCACTCCGATCGATGCCAAAGTTATCAAAAATGCCATCTACAGGCTTTGGTAGGTTGATTACTGGATTTCTTCCAAATATCCGACGTGTACTAAATTTAGTTTGACTGTCGTCCACTGGATAACTTGTTCCAAAGGAATCTCGCTCATATGGAAAGTCAGAAAATTCTTCTTTTCTTGTATTCAAAGTTTCTGTACCAAAACCTCTTCTTTGTGTGTTTCTATGTCGAAACTTGAAGTCTTCATCATCTTTAATTTCGGGATATTCAGCTCCAGAGAAATCACTGCCTCCATATGAAGAGTGTCTGGGAATAAGAGATCCAGATGTATAGGGAAATGTTGCTCGTCCACCAATATTTAATGTGTTCCATTCCCCACCCCTGCTTGAGCGGAAATTACCATTTGATAAAATGGGGTTGAATGGTTTTGAGGGAATCGGTCTGGGTGCCCATGGAATGTTCTTAAATTTTCTACCCTGGGAATTTTTACCCCTACCACCTGGATAAATATCAGACCTACGTGGTGATTGAAAGGAAATTTCACCGCCTTGTCCCACATTAAATGAATTGCTTCTCTTAAACTGCTCCTTAAAATCGCCTGGTCTTCTAAAGCGACTTTCTTCAAATCTCCGGAAACTGGCTTCTCCGGTCAGAAGTGGGGGTAGATCAGTTCCGTAAGTCCTGCCGTCCACGATGAATTCACTCACCCCTCCAGTCAGTAAGTCAAGTGCTGGTGAACCACGTGGGTTTTTGTATCCTGGGTACTTTTGACAGGATACGAAAGCAAACAACAAGAGGGGGACGGTAAACCTAACCATCTGTAAAATCAATAAAATTCTTTAGAGATAATACTTGGGAATGCATGAGAAGTATTTTTGTGAGTAACACTTTCTTATCCCCTCGCAGCAAAGATGGAGTGGATATAGTGATGCGCTTGTGAGTGTGTGGGTTAGTGGGTAATTTGGCGTATACGTGACGGAAGTGATAGTTTATATCGGAATCAACAAATGGCATTTTCTGCCTTGCTTAATTGATTATTTCTTGTTATTCAACTCTTTTTTTTTGTAATTTTTGTATTGCAAACACAGAAATAAAACCTAATTAAACATTTTAAACATTTGATTCGGCATTTTATTAATGACTTTCTATAGTATTCCATTGAGTTGCGTGCAATCGGGTACGGCATTGGACTTTTCTCCACTCGATACTTTACTGCTTACTGGAGGTATCAGCGGTTGTGGCACGGTCCAGCCGCCCATACGTTCCTTAGACCGACTTATCACAATTATAAGACCAAATTGAGAATAAATGACCCTACTGAATATGGTTTTTCTCTTTCATTTTTTTTATTGAATTGTATTTTTGTCAAACAAATTGATGAAACAGAAATATCAACAGTCTCGTTTAAAGTCATCATTTCGCAAGTTTTATGGTTGATACAATGACCTGGTCAGCAAATACAACCTATCGATATCATTAAGTCAAATGTTGACTGCCGTGTTTCATACTACTTGTTAGGCCATAATTTACACACTGAATTGTCTACGGATCTTTTCGTTTTCCCGGCCATGACAATTAGCACACGGCGGGTTTGACCGGTGGGCAGGGAATGCTCACTCCTCCATGGCACCTGATCCCGTCTCTGATGTTTTAGGAGGTCCGTGTTTGCTCCGCTTCCGATTTTTATTTTCTAAACGGACTTTGAACTTGAATACTGTTTGTTATCTCCGTATTTCATGCAAGAAAGACGTCTTCAGAATTTGTACCCGCTCATGATTCGGTAAAAGATATTGTTATATCTAATCTAGACTTGTTCAGTTTTCATTACTGTTTCGAATATGTTATCAAAAAAAACACCTAGTAAAATAAGGTTACTGCAAAGCGGAGCACCCATCGCAAAAGAGCACATTACTATGTGTCATGTTTTTGAAAACAGACTCACAACTCACATTAAAACAAAAGCAAGCAATTGTTTGTAAAAGGTAGTATCATACAAAATTCTTATAGACTGCCATTGATTTCCGATTCAATCTACAACAGAGCATATTCTTATGCACCCAATGCCACCCATAATCGAAGATTATGAGCTATGACTTTCATATTTGACATTTGACAAGACCTTTTTTTATTAACCATCATATTTGACCCCTTGACCTTTGAGTTTGACCCACTTTTGCAAAATTTTAACAAACTTCAACCTTAGCAATAACTTTTGAACTGTTGGCTCTAGTGTTTTCATATTTCACATGTGTATTTCTTGCGAAAAGACCTTCACTTGGGTACAAACAGTTTTGACCTTTTTTCCTAGATTTGGAGTTTCACCTACTTTTTAAAAACTTTAACGTTGTCCATAACTTTTGAATGGTTGGTGCTAGAGCTTTCATATTTCACCTGTGTATTTCTTCCTTTTTACCTTGATGTTTCACTTACTTATGGAAAAACTTTACCTTCGCCATACCTTTTCAAGGTTGGTGATAGGGCTATCATATTTCGCAGGTTTATTCCTTGAGACAAGACTTTTCTTTGGGTAACAACATTTTATTATCTCTTGACCTTGGAGTTTGACTTACATTTGAGAAACTTTAATCTTCGCCATAAGCAAACACATCTTGTTCTTTCACGGCTTTTACAAATGTACAACTTGACAAAGAGATGGAGTTAAAAATCTAGCAGGGACTATATTTTGGCGGAACAGTAACCACAAGCACTTGTTTATGTAATAATTTTATTAACCCATAGTAAAATAATAACACAAGGTATATGCATGGTCGTCCTTATTTTCTTTTATCTCCGTGAACGGCATCAAAACTCTGCTCGCCGACTAGAAAATGCGCATGTGTCTCACGCCATGAAGTGTTATATACTAATCTTGGGCAGAGAGCAAAATTTATACATTAGAGAGTTTTAAAATTTTTAACTTTTGCAGAGAATAAATAAATTTTGTTTAAATTTTTGTTTTCCATAAAAACATTACGATATTTTTCTGACGTAATTTTCGAAACAGATTTATAGCCAATCAAAATCCAAGATCATATTCCGCCAGAGGAGTTTCAGATTTTTGATGCTGTTTACGGAGATACGGAAAACAAAGACAAGCATATATACAATATATGGTTGTGTAGATAAATTAGAAGAAAATGGTAATAAAGAGTTCTCAAAATGACATTGATTCTGGGGAGGGGATACTCCATGTAATTCGGAGTTAAATACCCTATGTTATTATTACACTACGAGTTAAAAAATATATATATATTACACAAACACGTGCCTGTGACGGAAGTATAGGGATATATCACAAGAATTGTTTTTCAAATTTACTCAGTAAAGAATAAGGATTTTAGTTCACAGTTTTAAACAGTAAAAAGGATTTTATAAAGTGGATAAAATTTATAATTAGGGACTTCAATTGTAGAATATTTTATATAGATTTAAGAAATGAATCATATAATTTTTTCTTTGATTAATGTGTGGTACTATCTTTTTATGCCGAAAAATGATCAAATACTACTTTTTTAATAACATGACAGGCAACAGCAATTTTTATCCCATCGCAACGGAGTTGGGGAGATATAGTAGCGCAGTTGTGTGTGTGTGTGGTTGTGTTTTTTTTTTTGTTTGTTTTTTTTTTTTTGGGGGGGGGGGGGTGTTTCTGTGTGTGTTAGGTAGTGCTGTACGAAACGAAAGTGACGTAATTTGCACCGAGATCGAAGTTTGCCTAGAAATATGTGTATTTTTAATATAATCATCTATTGTCTAATCTTCTCATATTCCAATCACATAAATAAAACTGAACGAGGGGATGGTAAAATATAACAAACAATATTTTGCTTTTCCAAGTGTAAATTAGAATTGAGTTGTGTGCAATCGGGTTCGAAATTTTTGTTAACATCATATTTAGCTACGTAGCTTGATTTACCTAAGTACTATATACAGTGAAAGTATCCACGATTATTGTCGGTATTTTTTAAACATGTGAACTCAGGTAGTTACAGAGCATTAAAATTATACGTAAAAATATTTAGGTACAATATTTTACTGAAAAAAAAAACTTACCTCAAGTTCTGCAGCTGGCTAGACTTTCAGAAAACTTCTGAATGTGAAAATATTAAGTAAAATTAGCCTTTTATATACTCTATTGGAATTATCAATATCTATTACAAATAAGACAGATTATTGCTTTGAAGAGTACAAACCATGCTAATTTCTGGAGCCAATTGTTACTCTGATATTGACCCTACAACTTCCGGTCATATCTCATATGGGATCCTGTGTTGACGTTTTAGAAAATCAGAAGCCAGTTATATTTGGCAAATAAATCATTCTGGATTTGCACTGAATGTTTATTATAATGAAGAAAAAAATGCACGGAACCGAAGTGCAGGATTCATTGAAATTCATTTTTAAGTGCACTGAGAAGACAGATGAGTTTAGTTATATTTGTGAATGAATGTAAAACATCGCGTAATCAATGATCTCGTTATTCAAATACACCAATTCTATTTTACATATTTACAAAATTTTAATTACATGTAATTATCTTACGCACGGGGAATTGACAAAACAGGAAATACGAAACAAAAAAGACGAATGAGATTAAAACAGTGGGTGTGTTTTGGTAGAGTATTAGGTACATATACATGTAACTGGAAATATGGTGATGATCCATTTCACAAACTTGAATCACTTTATTTAAAAAATGATATTAAATAATTGAAGATGACTTTTAACTTAAACTAACTGTGAAATTCTTTTTTTTCCCATCGAAATAGACGGAAAGGTATATGGACCACATTACCTTAACATCCTCAGAATAAACTTCCCATCTATCTGTCATCTGAATATTCATAGAAAGACATCTATCTTAATATCGTGGTTTAGTGATAAATTGGCGAGTATCTGATTGAATATGCATTTCTTAATAGCTAAATTATAACTACCGTACTTTAATTTATATGTACATGCAGGTGGAAATATCATCAAATATCTTGAATGGCCTCAATTTTCTTTTTACTCCCGTAATCTAAATATCGAGTGAAGGTTCACAAAAGTAAGTGTTTGCTGTGTTATCTAATAAAAGCAAGTGGGTTATGTGTCGAAGCGAGTAGGTGTCTAATACACTTGTTGTGTTATAACTAACACATTGAGCCAACTTTAAAATAATGTTTGTTTGCCCTCTCCCGGCTCAGCTAGGATGAAAATTCGGTCGATGTATTTCATAGTTGGCTTACTAGAAAACAGCAAGTGTAAATATACAAAAATGCCACTCAAATCAATTTCAGATTGTTGGTTTAGATTTTGAAAAAAAAAAAAGAAAATATATATTTCTAGGAAGAAGAATTATTAAAACACTTCTAGATGAAAAGGGAGAAAACGCTTGCTGCGGCTTTCACTACACATTCAGATATATCGAGGACGTTTTATCAATTAAAAAATATTATAGTTACTTCTATTCATATATCTACTCAATATATCCCAGTGAAATTGAATAAAAGACACCACAGACTGTCTGTCACACCTACATTTGTATTTCATATTTGGATGTTTTACAGACTATATATAGACGATAAGGACCAACTAACAACTAAATTGTATAACAAACGAGATGACTTCAGCTTTTCCATGGTCAACTTTCCTTATTTATGTAGTAATATTCCCGCTATGAACTGTTAATGTCGTTTATGTCTCCCAACTTATTCGATTTTCAAGAACATACTGGAATGTCTTCAATTTTAATAAGTTGATTTTACAGGGATTCCAACAACTTCGTTTAAAGTCAGCATTTCGTTTATTCTCTGGTCGCTATTGCAACCTTGTTAGCAAATACAAATTAGCATATTTCATATCAATTGTTAAGTCTTTGTTTTTATACTAAATTTTACTACCGGAATATTCTACCTCATTAATGCGTAGGGTTCATGGCGGGTGTGACCGGTTGACAAGGGATGTTTACTCTCCCTGGGCAACTGATCCCAAATCTGGAATTTCCGGGGGTTCATCGTTAAAAATTCGTAACAAAATCATCAAAAACCATGATTAATCGTATGTAAACTTGCAAGCATCTTCAGATAGTGGAGATAATGAACAGTATTCAGGCTCAGATTTGTTCAAATCATAGATCCATGGGGTAAGGTGGGGCCAAAATAAGGGATTTGATTTTTACATGGGAATATGTAGGAAAATAGTTTAAAAATCTACCTCTCAAGGACAGCAGAGCAGTATTTGTGATATCAATATGAAAGCATCCCCAGGTAGATCAAATTCAGGTTTGTTTAAATCATGGCACTCGCGGAGGGATGGGACCACAATAGGGTTGGGATAAAATTTTAGTATAAAATTTTGCATAATTGGTGTATTAAAAAATCTTTAAAAATTCGTCACTTGGCCGTGTAAGACGTATAGATATTGAAGCATCCACATGTTGCATGGATTCAAGTTTGATTAAGTCATAATTCCTTAACTGGGGCTAGAGTAGAGTCAAATTTTTTCATGGAACACGTGTTCTCAATTTATAGAGCCAAATCAACCTATGCATAGGTCAAAATTTGTGTGAATTAAGACTTAACTATTTTGATACGTCATTTGAAGCATGGAAGTATTAAGTTATTAAAAATCACATTTTGAATTACACACACACACACACCCTCCCTCTCTCTCACACACACACACCCTCCCTCTCTCTCACACACACACACACACACACACACACACAAATATACACACACACAAATATATATATATATATATATATATATATATATATATATATATATATATATATATATATATATTAGGGATGTCAAATCGGTCAATTTTTGATAATCGGTTACTCGAACGTTTTTCCGATCGAGTACCCGGGCACTCGGTAAAAAAAATGTAAATTCAAGTGTATTAATTTCTTGAGCCCCGTTAAGCTCTGTTAAACCCCAAAGCTGTTTTTATCACGTTTATAAATGTATAATTATAAACATCGATTTCAACGGAAATGATTTTTGGTACTAAATTTATTTGTTAAACACAAAAGACACAATTAATACTGCAAAAAATTACAAATGGTTTACAGTTCTTGTTTAGGATCTATTTCATCAAGAGGAGGACAATCTGTTACGCAGGTTTGTAATGATAAGACTAGCGAAAGAGAAGGAACGGCCGTTGTTGGGATCGCTAGTCTAATGTTATTTCATATGTTGATTGTTTCCCCCGTATACAATAAATTTACTATACGCAAACTAACTTTCAACATTTTTTTTAATCTTTAGTTATTTTCAAATATTTCTTCACTTTTGAAGTGGGTAGCATCACTTCTATGCATGTCCGATTTCGCTGCCGTATATTAACTAAATAATTTTAAAATGATTTGAAAATAATAGACCATCGATGTTCACTGAAAACAATCATTGAAGCCATCCAAAAATTAAGGACCACAATAGGTGAGAACAGCTGGGTGATTGGTCACTAATTACTGTATATACACAGCCACAGGCGATACCAGGTGTTTTGCAGGTGAAGACGACGACACGCTAAATACCGTATGCATACATGTATTTAAGTTATTTTTGATAGGTTTTTGGAAAAAAAATATGTACTTTGAATAAGAAAAAATACACATCCGAGTAACCGAGTACCAATTTTAGTAATTGTTAACCGGGTACTCGTTGACATCCAATATATATATATATATATATATATATATATATATATATATATATATATATATATATATATATATATATATATATATATATATATATATATATTAGGGATGGCAATTTGTAATCGGTTAACCGGTTACTCGGTCGGAACAATGGTAATCGGTTAGAAAAACTGCAATCGGTTAGTCGGAAAAAAATAATATATTTGAAAATTTGAACACAATTTTCCTGAAAATTCAATTTAAAAATATTAAATTTAAAATTTTTAAATTTAAAATTTAAAAATATAAATAAAAATATATGTTTTGTTGTTAGCATTTCCACCTATATATTTAAGCTGATTCGAAGATAAATAAGGCTCTCCGGATTGGCTTTGTAGGGGTGATTGATCAGCTTTTCGAGATTTCATTACTGTTTAAATACCATGTCGTACTGTGTTTCTTTAATGAGTTTAATTAGATGATCGTTGAGGACTATGAACTGATTATTATGTGTACCTTACCTCATCTATCCTTTGCAGTTACCTATCAAATTATATTATTAAACAAACATTGTAAATTAAGCGATACATCAGACTTAGTTTTGATTATGGTTTACAATGCAGAACGAATTTGCGTGACACACATCTTTTCTGTATGTGATACTTAAGTATGTTTCGAGGGTTTCTAAATTTTTATTTCTGTCTATTAAAATTAAAATAAAATATACATGGTGTTCTCATCAAAAGTAAACATAATATTTAATTTACTATATGTAACATAATATTCAATTTACTATTAGTAACATAATTATAATTTTGTTTATTTGAGTAGAACTTGCAATGATGAAATGTGTCGAGAATTTTTTGATACGATTAACCGATTAATCGGTCGGAACGTCTTGCGGTTAACCGATTGGCAATTCTGTATTCGATTGCCATCCCTTATATATATATATATATATATATATATATATATATATATATATATATATATATATATATATATATATATATATATATATATATATATATATATATATATATATATTAGAGATGGCAATCGATTACAGAATTGTTAATCGGTTAACCGCAAGGTGTTCCGACCGATTAACCGGTTAATCGTATCAAAATGCACGTTTTCTTGACAATTGTTTTTCAAGTAGCTCTGTCCATATACAAAAATAGACCCAAATAAAACGATAGAAGTTAAAACTCTCCATTAGTCTTGATTCTGGATCAGAAAAATACGGGTACATATTATTTTTTACTTAAATTTCAGTAGACAAAAAAAATTGAGAAAACCATGAAAAAAGCTTTAGAAATCTTTGATAAATTTCCAGAGCAGATGTCATAAAAGTTCTTTCTGCATTTTCACTACGAAAATCAAAACGACAAGTGAACTCTATAGCCCTTAATTTACAATGTTTGTTTAATGAATAAATTGGATTGAAAACTGAAA